GGGGGGGGTCGGTGTGGGCGTGGACTATCGCGCCCTGCCCTCTCGAATAAGGGGAGAAGACTTAGGAAAAGGGAAGAAGGAGGAAGTAAAAATGGGATTGCCAAACCAGACTTCAGGATGGGGCGGGCCGCCCGCAGTTCCCCATTTCTCCCAGGCTAGACCCTCTCCCGTTCCCCCGCCCCACCCTCGTCTCCGCGCTCCCGCTGGGACACCTCCTAGTTCCAGATGTCTGAGACCTGGAGCTTTTTCGCAGGGCCTGGTTCACCTCCCCTACTCTCTGTCGTTAGGTGGGAAAGAACAGCTAAAGGTTTTACGTTTTACCGTTAAAAGCCCAGAACGGGGAAGCGACCTGTCCCGGGTCCCAGGCAGAGCTGGGCCTGGCCTCCTGGAACCCTGAGGACGCCAAGCGTCTCTCGCTCTGGGAGACCCCCAGATCCCTGTCCCGGGCTGGATGCCTGCAGGGTTACCTCACCACCCACCACATCAGCTTTGGACTAAACAGATTTCAGGGCATCCCACATTGGCCCACCCCCCTCACTCTCTGAATCCTGAACAAACCAACCTGAAGCCAGAGACGCCCCCCCCAGGTCTGCCCTCCAAGCTGTTCCCCGCCTGCCCAGGTGCCCTGCTGCAGGGTCACTCACAATTGCCTTCCTGGGCCCCCACCAGCTCGGGACCAGGTGGTCTCTGACTGCACTTGCCTCCTTCGAGCACCGAGCACACACCTGGGTGGACAGTGGTGCTGGAAAGTGCTATCGGACTGCAGTTCTGGGTCATTCCAGCCGACCACGAACAGCGTGTCCTTTAACCGTGTAGGAAATTAGAAGACAGATGTGAACCCACAAGCTTGCCACTGCGGACAACCGCGGTGTGGAAAAGGCCTCTTAGAACATCGTGAATATTTGCGGGTGGTAAAGAGGGAGGTGGTAAGGGCCAGGAAAGGCTAATCGGACGCTGCTGTTTGGGTGCCATTTCCCCTTGATCCATTGGCCTCATCCAGGCACCCTCAGGGCTCAATTCATTCCACAAGCTTTTCTGAGAACTGGGGGCCAGCCGGTGGTGTGGTGGTTGAAGGGCTGGAGCCCACGTGGCCAACTGCACAGTTCGAGCCCTGACAAGCGACCTGAAAACCACACTGGGCCCGTGTGCAGGCATACCCCAAAACCCCAAGAGGAGAATGGAGGACAAGAAGTTGCCGTGTGGCCATCCCCTGGGGGTGCTTTCTCACTTTCCCTCTCTCTGTCTCTTTCTGGTGAGTTCGTGCACCCATAGCAAACTGAAGGAGAGCGAGCGAGGCCGTACGTGGGTCGGAAGGGCAGGCACTGAGCACTATGGCGTGCACCGCCGAGGCCACTCACCACACTAATATTGAGTCTGTGTTAGCAAAACGTGCTGGTGTTTCAAGGAAAGGCAGGAGGGTTTTTCTGAGGAGTGGCACTGAGCTGCCTCCTGAAGGAATGTGGCAGCTTCCACAGGCAGGACACTTGGGGAAGGGCATTTCAGCTGAGCAGAACAGCTTAAGCAAAGGAAGGGAGCCAGTGAGTCTTGGTCTGCGGAGGGCTTAGAGGACCCCACTGTGGCTGCAGTGTCGACCAGTTTAGGAGGGCGTGGAGTGGGTGGCGGAAGTAAGACAGCCACATCACAGCCAGATCACAGGGGTCACAAACGTCAGCTGATCAGTGTGCTCTGGGGAGACCAGGCAGCAGCCCTGGAGTACTTCTGAGCAGGGGTGTATGGTTACCAGGCTCAGGTTGCACCTGGGGAGGAGCTCAGGTAGCCCACAGCCCACAGCCTGGTAGGCCACAGCCAGGTGCTTCCATGCACGCCCCCTGGGGACCTCTGCCTGCGCGCACACACACACACACACACACACACACACACACACACACACGCGCGCGCGCGCGCACTTCCGCAGCCTCCGGCCTTGGCGTCTGCTCTAAGCTGTACTGGATTCCACAAGGCCTACACTTCTCCTGTGTCCCCCCTGGTCAGTGCTCTGCCACACCCCAGCTGGCCTAGGCCATGGGTCTGGGGTCCAGACTGTCCCAGCAGTGCGTGTCCGGCCCCTGCCGTCCCCTGCCCCAGCCCAGTCTAGTGCTGTCTGGCAGTAAAGAGCAGGGGTGGGTACTGGGGCGGCCGCAAGGCGAGTGAGAAACACACCAGCTCTTCCTCTCAGGGAAGGAGAGGCCCAGGGGAGGGCAGAGAGGAGGGCACCCCGGGCACCGTGACCTCATGTGTCTGGGTTTCTGTCGACACACACAGACTCTGTGAGAGCACAGCGGTGGGGGTGGAGCCAGGCTGCCTCCAGCCCGGGGGACTCCGGTCCCGCCAGAATGGCTGCGTGCTGGCTGGGCTGAAGGAGCAGCAGGAGCTCACTCCAAGGCCAGAGTTGGGCATTCGTCAAAAAGGGGGAAGCCAGGAACTCCTGCACAGGGCAGGCATGGGGCCGGCCGCCCTCCAGATGCCTCCCCTCGCCCTGGCCAGCGCACGTCGTCTGCTAGACTCACTGACTGGCTGCCCAGGAGTGACCAGGCCTTCTCCCAATTTTCCAGGCCCACGTCCAGGCTGAGGCACACACAGGCACAGCCAGGGCAGGGACCAGGCTGGTACTCTGCAGGCCCTGCCCCCACCCCAGGAGGCCCCGCGTCCGCCCTCGCCCCCTCCCTCTCAGGGCAGGCAGGCAGTCAGTCCTGGGTGCTGGGCCTCCCAGTCCCTGGATTCCTGAGTGTTTGTAAATACCTCCCCAGCCAGGGCGTGGCGGTGACTGCTCCTTCCTCTTACCCTGCCCCGCCTCTTGCTCGGACTGAAAGAGGAAAAGAGTTTCAGTCGCCCCAGCACGTGGACAAGTGCCCAGCAGGTTAGACTGGACAGGCGAGGTACCTGTCCTCCTCCAGAGCAGCAGAACGAGAGCGTTGGCTCCCAGCCCCGATGGTCCTGGCTGGGCAAGGCCAGAGCCACTCTGAGCTGTAGTTAGGTCAGACCACAGCCTAGGCTTGTGTTCAGGGCAGCTGAGCAGATGCCCTCAGTAAGAGCAACGCTGGGCCATGCCTGGGGTGAGGAGAGAGGGGAGCGAGGGGAGCCTTCACGCTGGTCCCTCCTCCCACACCTCTGTAGGAACACCAGCTCAAAACCTTATATGGGGACTCCAGGTGGCTGAAGGTGCTGTCCCACGGGAGGGGCTGAAAGGGCCGGCCATGGAAGCCTCTCTTTGTCCCCTGCCTCAGACTCTGGGTGTGGTGCCAAACGTCCACACGCAGTGACTCATCCTCCAGGGTGCTTGGTAAACAGGCACTGCTTCCCCACGTCCAGCTGCCTCTGCCTCCCACCTTGGGTGACTGTGACAACCTCTGGGTGGAGGCCGAGGAGTCAGTGGGAGGGAGGAGGGCAGTCCCTGCCACCCCATTGCTTCCATTGCTCCAGTGGCTGTCACAAGGTGGAGGTGAGAACTATGACCAGACCTGCCGGTGGCTGGCCGTGTCCCCCTTGCATTATATAATGAACCTTGCATCCTGGATCATGCAAGGGACTCCTCCCCAGGTGCTAGGTCCCCTTAAACCTGCCCCAGGGCCCCACAGTTACGAGGCCTTAACGACCAGGTACACCTTCCCTCCCCAGGCCTGCACCAAGTCCCTCCCTTCCCCCATGCTCCCATTTAGAACCGCTGGTGCCCTAGCCCATCTCTCTCGTTCACTCGTAGCTGTCTGGGAGGCTGGAAGCAGGACTCCTTGTCTGCAGGAGCTCCCAGCTCTCTGGGTCCTTGCAGACAGAAGGCGGTTCACGTTAAGTGGACAAGACATGAACGACTCTTCAACCTGCAGCAGTGGCCAGTCC